TTTTTTAAATATAATTATTAAAAAAAATTCTATTAACGTAAATGAATAGAGGTAATTTTACAGTAAAACTTTTGTATAAAATATTTTTTGATATCTTGAATAGTTTTTGAGATATAACCAAAAAAAATTAATTTACATATAAGAAGTGGTTTCATCCCTTTAAACCATTTTTTAGCACCAACTAATAATTTCTAAATTCATCTATTTATGTGACTTCAAAGTGTACCAAGTTTCATTAAAATCAGAATTTGACACTTCGCGAGGTTCCCTTGTAAGTTAAATTTTTAAGACTGTTATCTTTAACTTAATTTATTACTAGTTAAAAAAATATATTAACCTACCAAACCCTGGATATTTGACATGCTGTCCTCGTTTGAAATTTCTCGTTCAAAAATTCCAGGATTACTCGTGCCCGCCCACCCGTCTTGCCAGGGGATATTGTCATCGAGTAAACATTCGAAGTACTCAGACTCTTCGGATATATTTTTCGGAGTTATAATAACACTTATTGAACTGTCAAATTCCAACGACTTATCAACTGAATCTTTCTTGAGAATTATTTCTTCGTTTATCTGTTCGATGCCATTTTTCGTCGACGTGTTCTGCACCGAGCATCCTAAACATTCTTCGTATTCAAAGCTCGGCTGATGCTCAGGTATGTTAAGATCTTCTGACTCCACATCCGTTTCTGGAATAATATGTCTCGTCTTTCCTTTTTCCGCTGTAATGTAACTGCTAGACTCGGATGACGACCTCTCAAACTCGGATTCACTCATTGGATCATTCACCGACGTGAAATTGAAATTATGCGATTTAATGCATAAGGAAGCATTCAATGGACTCGATGTTATAACTGCATCCCTCATATTTGTCCTGTTATGCCTAGAAAGAATTTTTCTTATACAATTGATCTTCATATAATTGTTTGAAATTTTTTTAATTTCGGAAATTTTGGGAATGTCTGTATAATTTTAAAATTTTTAGAATTTTTAGATTTTTCTCAAATTTTTTTATTGGAACACTTTTCAAAAGTTTTAAAAAAATGCACATATTTTCTAAAATTCTTCATATACATTTACTACCCATTTACTACAACAATGATATAATACAATAAAAAATAAAATTTTTCAGAAAATAAATTTTAGTGTTTTGAATCATAAAAACTTTGTAATGTTAATTTCGTAACACAATTTTAATGTAATAATTAATTAAAAAGAAATAAAAGTGTATTCTTTTAAAGTATGTTCTTTTTTCTCTCTGTTTCCATTTTTTCTGCAAACAACTAAAAAAATGACTATTTTTGAGTTATGTCGTAGTAAATGAGCCATATGTAAATTCCGAAAAATTCTAAGACTTCTCGATAATTTCAAAAGAAATTAACTTACAAAATCTGAGATTTTCATAAATCTTCATAAATTTAAAATGACAAATTCTTAAAAATATAATAGGTATTATAATCCAGATAGCACACATTAGTTCAAAAAGAATTATTCATATATTCAGGTCGTATATGTCATCAATTTTTAGAAAAATTCTCTTTGCATCTAAAAATGAACTCATAATTGATGAAATACATGTATAACTGACAAGTTCTTTTTCAACTCTCTGGGCTACCTGAGAAAGTGTAGTATGAAAATTTTTTTACCAAGATAAACCCTTATTTTCGATATCGGCATTCTCATCTTCACGATGATTACTTTCATCGCGTATATTCAATTGTTCGTTTTCGTTACATATCCTTTGATTCTCATTAACTTTCAATTCTTTACATATCTAAAAATTAAGATAAGAAACATAAGTGCCATGCTCATAGTATTCTAGGTTACAGAAATTCAATTTAATACTGAAAATTATATGTTCTAAATAGTTCGTTCAATCCTTAGAATATGTATAATTATTCATTTAGTATAATTATCTTTCAGTATTAAACTTCTGTAAAGATCGAGTATCGAGGTTAATTACGCACGTTTACCATTATCTTTTTAGTTTTCAGATTCCTTTTTTTCATTACCTTTGTCATTTTTTCCTCTCTCATCGTCCGATTCCGAATCACTACAATTTTAAACGTTTTTTACCCTTTATATCCTTTATTACATTTAAATACCTGCTGGATTTAATTGCCGAATCGTTTCTACGAGTACTATCGCGATTGTATATTCGGAAGTTTGAAATTTTTTGAAAGATTGCGAGTCAGGCCTGCAAACCGATGTGATACACAATTTGCGTGCATCTGGCGCAACACAATCAATGGCCTAGTTTACACCGAGCACTTTATACTAACTAGAAACTTTCTATTAAATTATCTTAATTTTTACAATGCATTTAAAGAATGATGTACTAAGCTGATACACTATGCATTAGTATAATTAATTAAATACATATATATCATGTATAAGTTTATATGCATCGTCGAAATTAAAAAAATGTAATAGAAATTTACTATTTAGTACGCGCGTATCAAATACTCGGTGTAAACTAGGCCAATGGCATAGTTTACACCGAGTGACCGAGCATTTGCGTACTAACCAGTAACTTTCTATTAAATTTTCTTAATTTCGACGATGCATATAAACGTATACATGATATATGTATTTAATTAATCATCTTAATGCAGTGTATCAGCTAAATGTACATCATTCTTTAAATGCATTGCAGAAATTAAGATAATTTAATAGAAAGTTAATTCTAGTTAGTACTCGTATCAAGTGTTCGGTGTAAATTAGGCTAATGCAAGCGATGTCGCAATTGGTCATCCAGTCGCGGGATTATCATTAACCAATCACGTTTGAAAATTCGTGTGAGAGATGTCACATGAGTGTCATGAGTGACATCATCGGTTTCTCTCCGTGTAAACAAGCCTTACAGAGGACTTCGCGTCGCTTGTCGCTTCACGTGGTCTCGTTTGCGCGACCGGCGAGGAGGACGGAATTGTGTTAGGTTAGTACGGTTCATGGGTTCGTAGTGGTGGTCTCGCGGGCGCACGGCTGAAGTTTTGCGAATCTTTATTTTATTGCCGCAAATATATAACCTGAAAGCTTCGCGGAATGGACGCGTTGGCGGCGGGGAACCTGACGGGTTCGCAGCGGGACGAGCTGATGCAGCAGTTGAAGCAACAGATAGCGGTCGCCAATGCCCAGGAGCTGCTCACGGTATCGTTACACAACCACGTCTCTCTCCCCAACGCGGCGCGCCTCGACTGACTGAAAGTTACAGGTTTTTACGCATATTTGCAGAAAATGACGGAAAAGTGCTTCAAAAAGTGCATAGGCAAGCCGGGCACTTCGCTGGACAGCTCGGAACAGGTATACTTTTTCCCCTTGCAACTGACTCTAGCCCTAAAAAAAAGTTACGACAGAGAGAGAAAGAGAGACGCCCGAGAGGATGAACTTTCTGTTTATTGAGTCTCGGAATTTCCTAAAATTATAATTAAATTCAGCTAGACAACTGGAACGAGAAAGATTTCACGCTGGTAAAGTCATTGTGAAGATTTGAAATTTTTATGTTTATACGATTTTTTTTTTTTTTATTAACTCTTCGCTGTTGATTTTGTTATTGTAATCCATTCTCGGGATAACATGGTGTTTTATTAATTTATTTAAACAATTCGATTTGATTTGTTTACAGAAATGCATAGCGATGTGCATGGATCGATACATGGACTCGTTTAATCTCGTATCGAAAACGTACAGCGAACGACTCCAAAGAGAACGCAACAGAATGTAAATAAAATTAAAAGAAGTTTGTGGAAATATATTGTTACTTGTTAACCACACTGTAATTTAATGTCACCATTATGGTATCACGTACTGCCTATTATAGTTATATACAAATATATTCTTTGTACTATCTATTAGTTAGACAAACATATTTTTCTGGTCAGTATAAAGTACGTAATCGTCACTTCGACATCTAGGTTTTTCTCAAGGCATTTAACATGATGCATTATTGTAAATTATGTACAATACAATTAAAGTGCAGTATGTAATGTAGCATCACTGAAAATACCTATTACAATTTATACATTTTTTTTATTATAGTGAAAGTTTAAGTTAAATATCTATTTAGGTCTCTTCTTTGTAACTAAACTAGCGTACACTATATAGATGAAACAAAAGATATATATTTGAAGTGAAGGTGGAAAGTTTTAGCATTGTTCAGCGCAATGATGACGAACAGGCCTCTCAGTTCTACCAAGGCTGCTTTCTGCTTAGAAAACACAAATCGACACGGATTAACACACTTTGAGCTGATTTACAGATGCATTCTAACAATTGGTTCAATTGGACCAAAACACACTTCGACTCTCCTCCCGAAAAGAATCGGAAAGTATCAATTGAGTTTGAAAAATTGTAAATGAAAAGCAAAGTGTGCCGATTTGTGTCAAATGTGTGTAGACTGTTTCTTGAAAAAAGAAAAGCAGCCTAGCTTTAAATTACACATAAGGACCTGGTAGCATATATCATGTTTTGTACAGGGAATACAGAGTGTGAATGGGAGAGAAAGTAGGCGACGAGGTGCAAAAGAGAAAAATCTTTATAAAATAAATAACATATACACATGAATACATATTATTACATCATACTTGAAAATCATAAATAAGTAACATAGGTGTTTTTCGTAAAACCCACAATTCCACAGTACTTTTTTTTATTATTATTTGCATTCTTTATAATTATTTCATATACACTAAAAGGCACGGTATTAGCTACCAATGTTTCAACGTGGTTACAAAATAATTATCTGCGACCGTAAAGCAGGGTTTTTTTTTATTTTATCATTTATCGATGCCTCATTCGGTGAAATTTCACAAACTGTGAATTACGGATAACTATTGGACTATCTTTGTATCTTGAAAATATCAAGCCTGCCACTCCACATGAGAATTTGTGCATTCAAACACCACCATGTGTGTTGTTATATATATGTATGTACATATATTTTTCCATAATAAAATTGTTACTTGATTTGAACGTACAATCTGCATCGGATATGTTCCTCTCACAAAAGCTGCGTCAATCATATAAAAAAAAAAGATATCGTTCACATCCCCTCCCCGGGTGCGAGTAAATATATATTCAAAAGCGAGACAAATTAGTTTTACACATCTCGACGTGCGTCCTCTGAAGACGATCTGGTAAGGTTTTATACATATGCGGTTTCTCTAGGTATATCTACATTACAAACATGCAAAGAAGAAAAATCAAGGGACACGTAAAAGCCAGGATACAGCTCCGAAAATTTGCCGTCTTAACGATCAAATGAGAGAATCGCCTAAGAGATGTATCGCGCGTGCGATCGATCTCTTCGCGAAGACGGCGACTTTCTGTTGTTTCGAAAGAATCGAATGAATCTCGTTAGCCACCCAGTAAACGAGAGTGAATTAAAATAGATTTTTAAAAATTTGTTTCAACGTTCGTAAATGCGTACTTTTGAAAATCTAAATCCATTTCAATGCCCAATGCCTTTGTATTCATTTAAGGAATCGCATGAATCAACATTTTCCATGCCATTCAACCCAAAAAAATTCAGCTTTAAAAAGTAAATCGTGAATACTGGTTAATTCAAAATTCTAGATAAGAAATGCTGTTTTTTTTTTTTTCAATCTAATTAAATTCAAAAAATGTTTTTCTTGAAAATGGACCATGAATGTTATTCATTAAAAAAATTTTTTTTTTTTTATTTAGATGGATTGAAACAATGTATTTCTTAGTCACAATTTTTGTCCTGGTCACAATTAATATAATATAATAATATATTAATATTATATTACAAATATATTATATTTGTATTATGAAATAGAAATGTATTCATTTCCAGTGGTCATCCACATTTCAATCCACGAATTAAAAAATTTTAATCCATGTTAATCCTTTTTCATTTACTGGGCGCGTGTGCTCTTGCAGCGGATACAAAAACACGCTCCTTAAATTAATATAGTCCTTACAAGTCTACGATGGGAGATTACACTTATCCTGTAAACATGCGCGTGCTAATGGTAACGACGTTAACGAAAGTATATCGGCCTATCTTAGCGTGTAATTAAACATTGGAATGTATCTGTCTCTCATCTAGATTCTACGTAGAGCGTAGGAATGTTCAAAGTGCAGTCCTGAATCTCGTCGTCAAGATTGCCGTGTCGATAATAGAATGTAACCACGCTGATTGGTCAGGAACACACCTGCTTTTTTTCTTTTTTTCCTTCGTTTTTGTTTCTTTTTTTTTAATACACATTGAAACAAACTAAGGCAGTTCGAACTAAGCGATTCCGTCACCGCGGACGCAGTGTCGAGACGAAGGGACTTTCCTGCTGTGCAAAAGACGCTTTTTACAGTATTCCTTTTTCAGTATTTTTACAGTATTCGTACAAATTATTCTTATCGACTCTTATCCCACGGTATGTTAATTACATATTATGATATACATGCCTTAAGCATACATCGATTACAAGGATTGACTTTGTAAAAATTGAAAAATAAAGTTATACAAAATGTCCCGAAATTCGCGAATCAAAATATTATAAGAAAGTCTTCGATAAATTAAGTAAAAAAGTGATTTGTAAATTTTTATTTTAAGCAGTAATTTTTGAGATAAGAGTTTAAATTTAGCCAATTATAGATTAGTACGCGCGTGAAGTGCGCAACTACTAATACTAATACGACGCACTCACGGACATGTTTCCGTTTAACCATAATCTATAATTGGCTAAATTTAAACTCTTACATCTGAAAAACTACTGCTTAAAATAAACATTTACAAATAACTTTTTTCCTTTATTTTTCGAAGACTTTCTTGCTATAATATTTTGATTTGTGAATTTCGGGACACCTTGTATATAACAATGAGTCGTAAAAGATTAATAAACTTGACAATGATTGAACATTTAATTAGAAACTTTCTTTTATACTGTTCATTTCAGCGTTCGTACTCTTTCTCCCAGCAAACTAAACGATATTTTCCGTTGCGGTGAAACACGTACGCGATTGAAGCCTGGCAGCATCTCTGTTCGCATTATTAATTTGTCCCGAGGGGGTAACCACTCAGAAAATATATGCACACCTAGACTTCTGACTTCAAGACTTCAGTGGACTTCACGAACTTCATCGGTCTACTCCGGAATTCATCGGACTTCACTAGACTTTTATGGATATGGTTGCCACTTTTCGGGTCTTTCTGGAAATACCGGCGAAATTTTTCAACAAACTTCCAAACAAATGTTAATGTCCGGACAAGGGCTTTCAAAAAGGACTACATCGGGCTTCAAGGAATTCAACGGAATTCTGGCAAGTTGTACATCGGAATTCAAGAGTGGTTACCCCCTCGATTCGTCCCTTTCTCTCGTATTACGCGCGTGGTGTTTGCTATCAAAATAAATATTTATCTTGCTACATTCGATATTGAATGCGAAGTCATAATTCGTACGAAGATAGGACAATAATAATTAAATAATTATTATACATGTATAGTAAAAAATGCCGCAAGTATTTGAGCACAGTATTTTTTCGAGTCTTTTTCTTAGACATCCGACGAAGTTTCTATGTATGTGATGAATTACCGAATTATGGAATTATCGAATGGTAATTCGATTTAGCTGAATTAAAAAGTTGCACGGAATTTCTTCGTTCGAACCAGATACAAATTTTAATTTGTTGCCTATAGCATGTCTAGCCGTTAATGAAAATTCTTTTCGTAAAGCTGGCTGGCCTATACATATTTCTTTTTTTTTTTACAAAAGGATTTTGATTTGTCAAGCATCTAGTTGATCCATCTTGAATTGTACTTAGTTATTGCATCTTACATGTGGACACAAAATATCCGCATTTAAACGTGTTCTTTTCTTTTCGTTCTTCCTTTTTTATTTCACAATCGAGATGGTATTATCCGAAAATTAATATCCTAGTCTAGTTCTTTCTACTAATTTCCTGCGAATCATGGATGCAAGAAAATATATAAGCACCTAACTTTTTTCCTTTTTTTCCCCTTAGATAACGTTAACGTCTCATAAATAACTTTAGCATCAAACACTTAGCACCATTACATTCGAAAAAATAATTTGATGGATTCTTTTTTAGGCAATCCATTTACTAGACGGACGATTTCCTGATATTGTTACAATATCATGTCAGTAACTTTTATGTAAATGAGGTAATGGACAATGTTCAGTCATTAAAATTAAAGGCAGAGACATTTCGGTAAACACAACAAAATGCTAATAGAAAGAGTCTCTTAAAAAAAAAAAAGAGAAATATAATTAAGTTATTAACGAGCAGTAACTCGTGTATTCTTTCCTTTTTTTACTCTTTTTTAGTATTTAAATTATCGTAACACTTGTGTAATATGCTTATAAGAGTAATATAATACTAGTATTTTTTTTACATAACGTAGAAGGTAGCCTGTCTGAAGTTAAATGAAACATGAGTTTACTTTGTAATATTCAATGCGTGTGTTATTCTTCTTTGTCAAAGTACTTAGTAGATAAAATGAAAATTATTGCAAATTTCACAACTGTACAACTGCTATTTCATACGATTCTACATTGATTTCATTATGTTTCACAATATTAATTTTTTTTTTAATGAATGACAAAAGATACTCTTTTTTGTATATAAATGATAAGATATATACTTCTTAACAACAGTATATCAATCATGTATTGCTTCTTTTGAATTATGCAATGTTTCGGATAGTCTATGAAAAAGATGACGCGATTGTTCACAATATACACACTGTTATTGCAAACCATGACAGTTTCAGAGTATCGCTTATCCTTACAAATCGTACAAAAATATGGTATCGTCTGTGATGAAAATACGCATTCAGACATTTTCCTTCTACGTTTTTTCCCCCTTTTTCCTTTGTAGCGCAACTTATATAAGTATTGAGCCACAGCTTGGCAGTGCCTTTCAGAAACTGAATGAATTCAATTCTGTGGAGTTCCTGAAGTTCTCACGGTACATTCGGCATATAGATATCCGCGGCGTTTCTAGGATAGGATATCGGTCTTATCGAGATAACATATATAAGAGGAACAACTCGCTAGAGTTTCTTACAGAGGATCTGCAGCGATACGATTGAAAATTACATTCCCTATGAATAATTCGCATCAGTAATACCCGTCGCAAAGTTTGATATATTCTTATCCATATTTATATCTTCGAGCTAAAATATAACGGTTCTATGTGTACATGTGTGTGTGTTCGTGTGCGTGTGTGTGTGTGTGTGTTATACGCAATATATATGTATGTATACATATACATATATAATATATATATATATGTGTAAATGTATATATATGTATATGTATATATATGTGTATATATATATATATATATTGTATATAGTATACAAAATGTATATATATTATATACATATGTATGTATATTTATCATATATAATATATGTATGTATATATAGTATATTACGTAATTTATGCGGGAGAAAAATATGTGCAATCGCAGTTGCAATAGTGCCGCCGTTCGCGTTAATTCAAATCCAGTTTACTTACGCAAGAGGTACTACTCAAGATCTCATCCATTTCTTCGATTTCCTCGCTTAAATCTTCGGTATGGGCACTTTGAGGCTTCTCCTCTCTCTTCGCTCGTAATTTCACAGGGCTGTCTATCTTGTCCGACTCCTTAGTGGGACTTTGCTCGTTAGCGCTACCCGATGCAGACGATACGAAGTCCTCTTCATAGTTATCTATACCATCTGCAGCTGTAAAAATGTATTGCTTCAATATCTCTCTGAAATTTGTATTAGATGACTAAGAAAACATGAATCTTTGTTAGAGATGTGCGAATTATTCAAATACAAGTCGAATGAGTAAGATCGACTCGATTCGGCTTTGTATCTCTATTCAAATTCAAACTATTCAAAAATTTCAAATTTAAGTTCAAATACAAATCACATGTACTGACAATCTTATAAAATCATATTTTGCGCTAATAAGTAAAATAATCTCATATAATCAGTATTATTTTTCTTACATATAGAAATTATCTTTTTTATTTTTTTATATTTTTATACTTCTTATACTTTTATATTTTTCTATATTAAAATCCAGTCTAACAATAATCATGTTGTTAATTAAAGCTTTGTTTAAACGATTTAATTCGATTTGACTTAATTCAATTCGAGTAAAATTCTGTCGATTCGATTCGGCGTAAAAAAACGCTCCTCTTGAAATTCGCATATCCCTAATCTTGATTATTATTATACTTTTGCAACTCACCAAGTCCAATATCCATCAATTCCTTCAGATCATTAATATTGGCCTTTTTACCGTTTAACGGCGGCAAATCACTAAATATAGAATTAGCTTTCTGATTTATAGTTGGCAAACCTTCTAGGAAAGGCTCGGCTTTGTTCATTGTACTAACGTTCTTCCGCTCACCGCCGACGATAATCTCGTCAAAATATATCGTTTTCCCGAAGTTGCCTCCCGCTGGGTTAGCCGGTGGTCTCTTACTTTGTACATTATTCTCTATACTTAACTCCAAACTATTTATACTGTTTTGCTTAGTTACATCATTTTGATTCGCTTGCGTGTCGATCGTTATAGGGTCGTCGAACTTAATTAAGGACTCGGATTTGTTTAATGGACTCATTTGATTAGACGTAACGGTATTATCAGTCTCCTGTGCCCCCACGTCGCTGCTCGTCGCCGTGCATGTGCCGTGTGGATTCGCGGTGCTCTTATCAAAATTTATATTATTGTTCCTGTTACCTTCAATTCCATCAGTGTCCGTTGTGCTCTCCCTGAGAGAAGATTGATGCTTATCGTAATCCGACGTATCCGACGTCACGACGTCGGCGCCGGTCGGCGGATCTTTGCATTTCTTGTCCGTTATTGTCACGTTTATTGGAACTTTCGGACTCTGCTCGGAAACGCTCTCCAACTTTTCGGAGGAATCGTTATCGTTCGACGACGACACGGATTCATTGTGGATTATTTTGGGAACGGACACTTCAAATGTCGCGTTTGCGAAATTTGTTGAGGCTTCATCCGTTTCGTCGTGTCTGCCGCTAGTTTTATTCTGCAGGAAGGATTCATAAGAATATTAATTATTTGACGTATCTTACTTTAAAAAATGTAGAATATAAGAAATGTCAGGAGCAAATTGTTTAGCGAGTTCAGGCAAATATTTTTATAAGAATGTGTCTCAAATTAAGTAATTTTGTTTCTTAAATATTTATTTTTGTATCAGCAATAAAGAAATTAGATGAAATATCTTGAAATATTACATGGAATGATATGTAGCTCCGTGTAAGAGCAAACGGCTCGTAATCGACGGATTACAAGTCAATTCTTTCATCGTATGTGCTTAAGATATGCGAACTATTCGAATTCGAAATACGAATCAAATAGATAAAATTCGATTCTATTCGGATTTAAATCTTTATAATTCCAACTTTTAATTAACAATATAATTATTGTTAGGTTAAATTTGAATATAGATAATTAAAAGATTTGTTTTACTAGTGGAAATGTATGATAAGATTGTTATACATTTAAACATACATTCAAACTTCTTAGATTCAAAATTTTGAATAGTTCGGATTTGAATCTCTATCGAATCCGAACTATTTCAAAATTTTGAATCCATAAAATTTCAACTAAATTATTCGAAAATTTCATATCTAAGAAAATGAAATACATATATTGACAATCTTATAAAATCATACTTCTAATAAAATAGATAGATATTTTTCTTAATTATCTACATATTAAAATTTTACCTAATAATTGTTAATTAAAAATTACATTTCAACGATTCAATTTCATTTAATTCGATTTAACTCAAATATGAAGAAATGAAATTCTATTCGATTCAGTGTCAAACCTTTGATTCACACATTTCTAATGTACACGTTTGTCTGTCTACGTTTTATGAAAGAAAGACTGATTAAAAAGTTAAAAGTGAAGGAGATAAATAATCTGTTTTCGCATATTTCATTACAATAACAACTAATTTAACTATATTTCACTACAATTATAACTATCTTAATGAGTTTGATTTAATTCAAGAAAATACCTTCTGTGAACTATTAAAGGCACCATTGATGCTATTCTTGAGAATTTCTCCCAGTAATGGCTCGGTTGAATCGATACCTAACTCTTCGCACAACTTATTTCTCCCTGCATAGTTATATTCCTTTCCAAAGTATGTTTCTGGATCATATACAGATATTGTGTAGTCGAGACCAAAGTATTCTAGGAACTCCCTAACTAAGGAAAACAATAATTTTCCTTCTGAATTAGACAGGTACTGCTTTACAGTTTTGTTGAGAAGTGGCTCAGGATTCTGAAACATTTAATTTCAAGTCTATTAAATCATCTCCCATAGCTTACTTTTCTTTTGTATTAGTTCATAAATATTCTATATAAATAAGGTAATAATATATGTAACTTGCACAAGCCTAAATCTGCCTGTGTCCACGAAATCTCCGAGGTCTTGAAAAAAGAAAAAAAATTAAATCACATTTCAACAATTCAACTTATTGACTAATTTTTTCTCCTTCCAAAACCTCGAGAGATTTCTAGTATCACAAAACGCTTGAGAATTAGAGAATATACTTTTATATCTAAAAAAAGTATTTATATGTAAATGATTCACTTTTCATGGAAATTGTAACGTTTTAAATTTATAAAAAATTACGCAAAGCTTCTCCCCACCAAGTTATATGTAACTTACATGTTAGTTGTAATTTCCCACTCAACAATATAACTATAACACACGTGTTATATTGTAGTTGTACTTTGAGCGGGAAATTACAAGTACGTCACATAACTTGGTGTTTGCTAGACTCCTTTTCTTGCTCTATAAAATCAATGTAACACGCAAATGTCTCACAGCAAGGTACTTCCGTTCATTGTGTGGGCATAAGAAGCTCTGATAAAAGCACTGATAAAAGCACAAAGATTTGTAACAAAGCCTTCCTTATTACAGGCAGGTCTCGACACGACATTTACCATAACTGAATCCTGTTCCTCGAGTGCCAGAAACACGCTCGCCCTGAGTTCCGCCTGCGAACATCACAAAAAAGAAGTTCGATAAAAGCCGACGGAGAAGAGGGGGATCGCGAAGTGACGATCTCAACAGCAAAGCTTCTACCCCGATCTCGGCCCCCGAAAACACTTGGCCCTAACCTAACAGAGATTCGCGGAATATTCTTTTTTTTTCCCACGAGACATAGCTTCCCGGGGAGACGCACCCGTATCTTAGCGAGAACGCCGTTACTCTCCAGGGTCTGCACCACCAGGTCCCGTAATTCCGTGTCCTCCTCCATCGAGATGTTCCCGTCTATCATGATTATACAAATTAAAAAAAAAATGCGCCGAAACGAACACTCAAGAGATGTAAATATTTACGCTTTCCATCGCGTGTCTACTTTTTCGCGGAAGCGACACTGTCTATAGACTGTCTAGAGACTTTACTTCCTACTCCTTCCGCAAGAGCTAGCGATTTCCCTCCCGTTAGGTCATCGAAATCTAGGGACTTAAGGGAAATGTTCGATATTCCTAGTTATTTTCCCGCCAATTTGAAATGATTCTTCCATAGACATATAAGATATGTCTATGGTTTCTTCACAGAATTAAATCAAAATGAAAAAAATTTCATAACGTACAGCACCGACAAGATTCTGTTAAAGACCGTTAGCCCTGGGCAAATTTTCGTGCCAGCTCGGCGGTAATTGCAGAGTCGATGTTATTGACTTTTGACATAAATTTGTGATTTATTTGAATAATACATTATTAAGATCATGATTTTTATTATATAAATGCTTTATAAATAGGTATAAATACTTACAATGCTATAATATTACATTACCGCAAAATTAATTTTTTCTCCAACTGTTTTACCGTCTCCCTGGATAATCAAACACGTATGGTAACTATAAAAATGCAGTTTTAAATCAAATTAACTATTAGCAAGTTATAATACAGATGAATTACAATGTACATGTCTAAAAAACATTGATCTAACAATAAATATTATATTATTGACTAATTGCTTAAATTTTAGCAATTACTAAACCAACCACACTAACTCTCGTAAGGGTGTCGGTCTTTAATATCTCGTCAGTGTGTATGTATTATAATCCAAAATGGTTTAGTTTTTAAAGATACAGGATGTCAAAATTAAAGAAAAAATTGCGTTTTTTTTTATCAAAAATTTTGTAAACCAATCGGATTATTTTGATGAAACTTTATGTATGTCCTAAAAACATATAGTAAAAACTTTTAGGGCCTTATATTTTTTTTTTTATTCACTCAAGAGGACAGACCCAAAAATAAACGGATACTTTTTTTGTATATATAATTATACAAAGTTTTCATTTCGAATTAATGTAACGAATCAACTTTTTTAAAATTTTTTAAAATACTCAAAGCCACTTTGTGCATGTGTGTGTGCATGTGTGTGATAATATAAAAACTATATAGTGTAATAGACTTTGTATAAACAAAAATATGGAATTTAACAATTAGGAAGTTATTTAGAAATCCATTCACATCTATTCTTACAAAAGAAATTATCAACATTTATTACATATATTTATCAATCAAATAAAATATATATTCGTTCAATACTTTGTTCAATTCTGTTAAATTCTTAAAACTATTCAATTCGTTGTCATTTCAGAGTTTTGTCGAAGTCGAAATTCGAGTAGCAATAAAATTCATTCGCCAAATTGTTCTTATGACCTGGAAGAAAATCACATTTTCTAACATCCAACAGCCTCTTTGCCAGCTCCGTCATAACAGCACCTACGCGTAAAACAATATTAGTCCCGCTTGTATCAAATGCACAATTAGTTTGGTACGCAGGAATGTGATAGAAAAATAATTCCATACATACCTGTGCACAGCACAATATTTTTCTTGGTCAAAAACTTTATTGTCACTGCCGTTTTAGTTAGACATTCCTCCGAAAGGAAAGGTGGATCGGCTATAACCAAGTCGAACTGACTAGACATGTTTCGAGGCACGTCCAGGGGAAACTTGTAGTCATATTGTATAAAATCCGCACCAAATATTTTGAAACGACTGTCATACTCGAACAGCGTGACTGTAATCAAAATAATAATTAATACTTGCAAACAGGATTGGGAACATTCATAAAATTTCATAAAAGTAACGTGTTATCTATTATTTTTTTATAAAAAATAATTTGTTACTAATTTTAAAATGTAACGTGTTACATTTTAAAATTACAAAGTGCTACTTCCTTATGATGCTAAAATATTAAATTTTAAAATTACATAATTTAATCAATATTAAAACGTAAAATTCTAAATTAAAGCAATCTTTTCTTTGGTTGCATTCAGTAGAAAAAGCAGCTTTGCAATTGTTGTAAAATTCTTTAATATAATTGGTTTATATATTTAAATCTATGAAGAACTATAAAGAACAAGAACCAATTATGTTGAAGAATTTCACAACAGTTGCAAAGATGCTTCTACTGAATGTAGCCTTTATATTATTTTTATATATATATATATATATATATATATATATAAACTTATAAAATAAACTTTATATATTAAATATGTCCAATAATTTTTATAATTCTTTATATTAATTTTTTTTTGTTCTTATCTTCATAAAAATCTAGATTGAAATTCACAAATTTTATCGAAAATTTTTAAATATTATTTTTTAACATTAATATTGTTATTAAAAATGCATTCGATCCAATATTAACTCCCATAATTTGGATTAAATATAGAATTCACATTATAAATAATTTATAGACTTTCAGACAGTGATTATCGAAATGCAGCCTAAAGTATATAAGTACAAAACTTTAAATACTAAAGTATAAAATAATTTCCAATATTTAAATTTTTATTTAAATAGAATGCTTCTATCCAATCAATAAGAAATATTAAATAGATATAGAACGTTTTGCAGCAAAAATACAAATAACACAGTAGTATAACAGTAGTATAACAGTGAATCATTCATCTTTGTCTAACATTAGCAAAGATGTAATGATTCACTGTGGTTCTTACTAAAAAAACACTCAAGGGTAATAGGAAGAGTTGTATCAGAGAGGCTGCAGACCTAAGATTACTTGAAAATTTTTGACAAAACTAATTATCATTTGTAATCACTCTTACATATTTTTGTCATTATTTTTATATTAAACATTTCTGTCATTACTTTTGCCGTTATTGCTTATGGCCATATTATTGCCTCTGTAATGGCAGCAAGTGCTAATTAAAAAGAGACGATATAATAGAAAATTAAAGTAACAATAAAAAAATGGCTAAATTTGTTATTATTACTGTGAAAATGTAACATTACTGTTTTGGTTTTTTATATATAAAGATAGTTTTAGCCTAATAGCTATATAACGAGGTATTTTCTGATGTTTTTATATAAGGAATAAGTACAGTTTAACATCTTGAATAATTATTTATCAGATGTAATGGCTTCCCATCATTCCGACCGCATGGCATTTTTGCTCGACGCGATTATTAACATACCTCTTGACATTGTATTGATTGAAAAGCAATTCCCATGGTTGTATATGAGAATCATCTGGATTCCACTTATTTAATCTGTCACACAAGAGATTCTCGACTGCGTTTTATTTTATAATCAATGACTGCGCGTGCTGATAATTTTAATCTGTTATGCAGGGTTTTTTCGACAGCGTTATTTTCTAAGTATTGACGACGTGTGTCATATTTCATAATATGTATTAATTTATTAATTGTGTTTATGTCTAATGCGATTGAAAAAGACCTAGTCAGGCTGAAACTAGTATCGCGATACATTGCTTTAAATGAATAAATTATTGAACATCCATTAATTTTATTTGCTCGTCTTTGGCCCATTAATTCTTGTGTTATTATTATATTAAGCTGAACTTTATTATTAATGTAACATTACTGTTACAAACAGAAAAAAGTAATACATTACAAACCATTACGCATTACTTCCTGCTTACAAATTATTTCACTTCAGTTTATGTTACCCAACGGCCTAGTTTACACTGTAATTAAATTAATTGATACGAGTATCAGGTTGGTGCGGACTAAGTACTTGATACGTCACTGTTTACACGGATTTATTTCAAAAGAAGTTATAATAGGTTTATAGATTTTTCATTTCACAAAACTTCTAATTCTAATTTTAATCTTAAAGCAACTTTAATGCAGCAGTGACATATTTAATTCGATTGAAAACGAATTAAGTATTTAGGCCTAGTTTACACCGAGCACTTGATACACGTACTAACTAGAAACTTCCTATTAAATTATCTTAATTTCTACAATGCATTTAAAGAATGATGTACTAAGCTGATACATTATGCATTAAGATGATTAATTAAATACATATATCGTGTATAAGTTTATATGTATCGTCGAAATGAAGAAAATTTAATAGAAAGTTGCTAATTAGTAAACGTATCAAATGCTCGGTGTAAACTAGACCAGTGCATCAAGATCTTTTGATACGTGTACTATTTTGATCTAATACTAGCGATTCAGAAGTATCAGACCAGACCGTACTAAGATAATTCACGAACGTTTACACCGACCGTATCAAGCGATTTGATATGGATTTGGTACTTAGTACGCGTACCAAGTGCTCAGTGTAAACTAAACCAATGTATGTCCAGGATACAAGTATTAGTCATACCTTGCCGTTCACCGCATTCCTTCTTCAATTTGCCATAGAGTGTCGGACAAGAAATCAGAGCTATCTTTCCATTTGCTGGCGTGGAATTTAAGGCACCTCTGACAAAAATTTCTATCGTATCGTCATTGTACCAAAATTGGCTCAGTTGCTATAATATCGATATCATACTCCAATTTCTCGGAATTAAAAATTTGCCACATCATTTCGTTGCTCACTCACCCAATCCTCGTCGAAGGGTGTATCTGGTATTCGATTTTCCTCAGATATACGCTTTAATAAATTCTCTCGCTCTTCCTTCTCCTTCAAGAATTCCTCTAATGCGGCAAGCGTACTCGAGCTCAGACGTGGCTGATCATCATCGCTATTGCTCATTGTTTACAGTCGCATGCAACTTTCTCTGTATACCCAGTAGAGAGTCTCATCCACCATGATCACAGGGAGAGAGTAGAGTTCTAGATTATCATAGGACTCTAGGAGAGAGTAGAGTCCTAGATTATCAGAGAAGCGCGACCGGTGTTACGAGTCCTGATTGGACTCGCAAATGGCTAATCATAAGATTGATTTATCGCTATTATAAATGGCTGCCGAATAAATCAATCT